CCCGGGATGAGCTCACCACCCGGCGAGGGCCTCCAGCACGGGGGTGGGGGGACGTCCCGAGCTCCCGCGGGGTCTGCGGGGCCCACACCGGCTTGCTAAGTTTGGGGGAGCCAAGTGCTCCCCAGCCGGAAAGGCCCGGCTCTAAGGCCACCTCCTCCAGGAAGTCCCCCAGAGCCATGGCCCCCTGCATGGGCCCTGTCTCTGCCCCAAGCCTAGACTGGCAAAGCAAGTTGGTTTCTGCTGCCCTGGTGGATGGGGGGCAGGGGAGCGCAACAGGTGTTCACGGAGTGCCTAGGACGTGCAATGCTCCAGTGGGGCTGGACTGGAGCCACTCTGACGCCAGGATGAGCCCCCATCCCAAATCCACCCCATGGATCTGACCCTGCTGCGTGTGGGGCCTGGCCTGGAGCGGGCAGCTGAAGCATATTGGATTCTCAGGACTCCCCTGCGTCCCCCACCTGATTAGATGCAGTCCCCAAGCCTGGGAATGTGCAGCCCGTGTCCGTGACCAGGGTGGGAACAGCCACACCCTGGTACAGCCATGCTCCTTCCTCTTCTGTACGCCTTTGCCTGATATCTTCAGATGGAAATCAAGTGTCACTTCCTCAGGGAAGGCCACGTAAAGCATTGTCTTTTTAACATCTTGCCCACAAACCACAGTAAGAACTACATTTTACATTCTGAGCCAATCAATGCACACATACAGAGAGAGAACCCAGACAAAATGATTCGCAAAACAAGACTTTTCCTTACTACCTACAAAGCACTCTGATATTTTCTATTCTACTCTGTTAAAAAAGGAGAAAGGAAGGGAGGGAGGGAGAAAAGGAGGGAGGAAGAAAGGAAGGGGGGAAATGGAGAAGGAAGGAGGAAGGTTGGAAAGAAAGGAGGAAGGGGAAATGGGGAAGGGAGGGAGGAAGGAGGGAAAGAAGGAAGGAAGGAAGGAGAAGGGAAGGAGGGGAGGAAGGAAGGAGGAATGAAGGGGAAAGGGAGGGAAGAAGGAAGGAAGGGAGGGAGGGAGGGAGGATGGAAGGAAGGAAGGAAGGGAGGATGGAAGGAAGAGGGGAAAGAAGAAAAGGGAGGGAGGATATAAGGAACAAAATAGATTGCTCACAACCTGCTAAGTCAAGTCGCTGATCCGCAGTTTGGGAAGCACTGATACAGAGGCACTGATGGCCCTCCAGCTCTTGCTGCCTTGGCTAGCCTAGCTCTGTTGGCAATGACCTTTCACACCTTAACCCTTAGTGGATGCTTCCTAACAGTGCCAGGGGCTCCCTCTCCTCTGGTGGGGGCGCCCCCAGCTGGGGAGGGCAGTGGGTTATCTTCATATGATGGATGAGGGGCCTGGACTCGGAGATGGGAACTCACAAACCCAGGAAGGGGCTGTGCTGGGGCTCACAGCCAAGGTGGTCCTTCGAGGAGGGAAACCACATGCCCTTCCGCAACCCCAATCCTAGCCAGGGGTATGATAGGCGCGGGGAGCGCTGAGGAGGCAGTGGTTTCTTACCGGCATCTGGACTCCCACCTCTGTTTGAAACCTCTCTTTACACTACTGCCACCCCCAACACACACACACACACACACACCACACACACACCACACACACACCACACACACACCACACACACACCACACACACAC